GGGGGGGGGGAGGGGGCGGTGCAGCCTTTCTAGGCCAGGGGGTCGCTGGCTGCTGGCTGCCGGGCCGGGCTGCCTCTCTGCTCTGCTCCTCAGGGCGCTCGCGTCGGCTCGACTCGGTTTGGCTCGCCCGGACTCGGCTCGGCTATGGCTCGGTTCGGCTCGGCTCGGCACTTCGGCGCGGGTGGGGCCCAAGGGGTTCAGGAGGCCGCCCGCCTGCTCGCGCTGCCACGCCCGCCTCTCCCGAACGCGTGCAAGTGGCGTAGCTGAGCGTGGCCGGGCGTGGCCGAGCGTGGCCAGGCGTGGCCGGGCGTGGCCGGGCGTGGCCGGGCGTGGCCGGGCGTGGCCGGGCGTGGCCGGGCGTGGCCGAGCGTGGCCGGGCGTGGCCGGGCGTGGCCGGGCGTGGCCGGGGCGCGTGTGCTCGCGGGAGGCCGGGGAGGTGTCTCAGAGGGCGAGATACTGATTGGACTGGGATGGACCGGCGAGGAGCGCCGGGTGGCACACACCGCGAGTACCGGCCAGGCCACCAGGGAGAGCACTCTCTCATGTCGCAAATTCGCCCGCGGAACACGCATCTCGTAGGTCACGCCCCGCGCTGCCGGGGAGTGTCTCCCTATGGGCCTCCCCACGGCCTCCAGGGACTCCAGGGACTACAGGAGACTCCAGGAGCCGCTGTGTGGCGAGTCTGTGAACCCTCCGGGGTAGTATCTATGCGGTCCTCAAGCAGGTTTTGCGGGGAAACGGCAAATGATGGAGGGGCGTATAGTACCATATTTGGAACCGCCGTTCAAAAATATGAACCGTCATCACAGCCCCAACTCTGTGGGTCAAACCGTTTAGGCGTTACAAGCGTTCAAAATCCTTAGGTAGGCAACCCGCTTGTCTCCTCGCCATGTCATGAGAAAAAGGGTCCCTGCAAAGCCCAGTGCAGGCGGTGTAGTACAGCTCGTCGCCGACGCTCTTGTCGCCGGGGGAGTGGATACCCAAACCCACGCCGCGCCGCAACCCCTGCTCCCCCCGCCCACCTCACCCAGCCCCGCCCCTCGCCCCACCAAGCGCCACCGCGCCGTCGCCACGGTGGTGGTCGCTGTTCTGTACGTACTGCCCAGAGGTAATGAAAAGTTGCTGCTCCAGAGCACACAATAGTGGAGCGGCTGGACTAGTCATCCGGCGAAGCACACCGAGAGGGCCCCTGGCCTCTGGCTCCACCCCGCCCCGCTCCGCCTCACCCGACCCCGCCCCCCGACCCGGCCCGCCTCGCTCGTCTTGGGATCCTGGGAATGGGCTAGCTGCCCCGGGTCTTTGAGTCTTTGTGCGCGCAGGAGGTCCCCCTCCCCGAGGTCCACGTTGGCTCCCGGACCACCACCACTGCACTCTTTTCTTTAGGGCGGAGGAGCTGCTGCTGCTGCTGCTGCCGTCCCCTGACGAGCAATCTGCACCTGGCCGAGTTCGTGTTCTTGCTCAACGGAGTGCAAAAAAAAGAGAAAAAAATGTTAAAAAGAAAACAGAGGAAAACAGAGCGGAGCAAAGCGCGGGCGGTGAGGCGCGGAGGGGACAAAAAACATTGGGCTGATCAGAACACTCATCGACCACCCCG